TTTTTTTCTAATCAGCGATATTTTTTTCTTTAAACTTTTTGCAAATTTTATTACAAAAATTTTATAAAAATTTTAAACTTGGAAATTTTAAGGAATAATATATTTTTGCGTCATATCAGCTAATTATTTTTAGATTCATAAATATTACAACATTAGTTTTTATTCAATTTTAAAGTGGAAAACTTTTAAGTAATTCTCCAATGAATATTCGCACTCAAATAAAAATCGTGCAAATCTGAGTTTTTTAATTGAGTAGTTAAATATCTTTAATATATTTGTATTTTAATACTTCCATTATAATATATAATTTGTTTAATATGATTCGTAAAAGCAGTTATTTCATTTAACCGCAATCAGTGTAAATACTAAGCCACAGCAAAAAAAAATTTTTTGTAATGCTTATTGGAAATTTTTTTGGAATGAAATGAAATTAATATTCTAAGTTTACCATACGCGGAAAAGTACTCCGTAAATTTCACAGAAATATTGATTTGTTCATAAACAAAACTATAATAATAAATACAGTTCATTAAATCATTTAAAGATTAAATTATCTATTAAATTAATAACGGAACAAAAATCACATTTTTATGTTTTCGATTTATGATTTTAGTGACGCTTAAGTCTTCTCTTCTGTTCAAGTAGGGTATAGGTGAACATTTTTTTGTTTTGTACTATAATATAATTGATGTTTAACAGATCACTAGATACCAGAACAAATCAATAGATATCATTAATTTTAAGTGCATTAATATTAAGTGAAGGGAGTTTTTGTAACAACATGGTCTTACCAGTTCAGAAAAATAATGGTTTTGATATTTCCGTTTGATGTATTTATAAGTTTGCTGTTGTGATTGTTCTTTGGTCTCTGGAATATAGTCATGGGTCAGAATTATGTTAATGATTACGAGTTGGTTTAAAAACTTCGGACTATTTTGTTTAGACTGTTCTAATAGTGTCTCTAAAACGATTAAACGATATCATATTTAGTCACGACACTCACTGCACAGAAGTTTTCATGCCAAAATCATCCTTCAATATATCTCAGATGCTAGAAAGCCTTCCATGTTTTAATTGTTCCCTCTTCAATATATTTCATACAATTTTTCAATGTTTACTTTGGAGATGTCACTTTTTGGGTGTTCAGTCGTCATTATGTATAGTGTTAAGTCCACGTTATAAGACAGTCAGCTACCTTTTTACTTTTATATTGGCGTGTAATAAATTGTATTAAATTTAAAAAGGATAAAAAATTATTGAAGATTTGAAATAGAAAAATTCAATCCTTATGAGATACTGCTTTTTTGTTGTAAAATTTTGTTCTTTTTTGAAAACAGAATTACAAATATTACTAATATTTAACCAAAACTATTCCAAAAGACTTTATTAGGTGTCAAATTAAAAGAAATTGAATAGACTAAAACTTAGTTTGAGAGTTGAGCTGCTTGAATAAACTGTTTTTAAAGGTATTAAAGATATATTGATTGTATGATTTTTTTCGGGTAGAATTCACTGAATAGTCGAATAGAGACTAAAAATGTTCAATTCTTATATTAAAAAATTAATTTTAGCATCTTTGCCGATTAAGTTTGAAACAGTTAGTACATAGATATGATTCGTAATTTTAGTATACCTACGTATGCAATGTGATTATATAAATATATATGAAAAACTTTTTTTGTAATGTAACAATAAAAAAGTTTTTGTTTTTGTAATGTAGTAATTAAAAATAAAAAACTTATTTATATATTCACATTGTTTATAATAAAATTACGAACGTTTTTTAAAGATTAAAAATAGATAATATAAATGTAAATTTTAAATCATTAAAAAAAATTGAAATTATCTGCAATATTATTTCAAGTGTATTCTAATATAAAAATATTGATATATGATTTTATTGGCATTGCGTTTAATTGATGCTTTGTAATAATAAGGAAATGTTTATTAATTTTGATACATATTTCACTAAAATATACCAAGTAGATATGGAGGGAGGTGTTTGTGTAGGGTGCGACAAGGAAATGCACGGGACTGTAGAGTTTAGCCAATGTAATATATTCTTATAGTAAAGTTACGTATTTGTGTTATTAAGTATTTGTATTACATAAATATTTTACTAAGAGAAAAGTTTTAAAAATATTAGATATTCTTTTAATAGTTTTATATATTATTAAATCAAAGCAATTTGTATGAAATATGAATTTTTAATAAAAAAAATTGTAAAACGCGCTTGAAGTGTTTATTAAATTTTCTAGTCGAATGCTTGATTAATAGCCATAATTATTCTTACTTAACCCTCAATTCATTAACAATAATGGATGAAATCAACAAATAACTATTTGTTTAATTTATATATTTAAATCGTGTATTGTATGGTTAATAAAAATGAATAAAAAAAGAAATGAAAGTTTATATAAAACTATGGTTTATAATTGGAAATGTAACGAAAATCAATATTTTTCATAGTAAGAAATTTAAGTAAAACTTAATATTTAATTTTAAAATTAAATAAATACACTAAAATCAATTTTGCATTTATATGAATGCCATCTTACATTCAATTTCATTAAAATTAATATTTATTGAGTCTTGCCCGCACACCGAACCTGGTTTTGTAACAATCCTGATAACATTTTGCTGCAGTTGCCTTGAAAACGATAACAAGCCGAAAATTGAAAATTGAAAAACAACTCAGCATAGAAATTAAATTTAAAAATACTAAAGATACTTTGAGAAACTGGTATTTAAGCTGTACTGAACACAGTAGATAAATTGCAATATACAATTAAGTGATTGGTGGTATTATGGATCAAGGCTGAGTGAAGAGGTGAAGAAATGCAATAAGCACGTGCAACAAAATTGGCATTGAATACTTTAGAGTGTATCGAAATAAAAACAAAAAAGATTTATTGGAATTTATGTCGATATTTTGCAGCCGGTTCTCTTAATTGTTCTCAAGTCTTTCGCAACATCCTCAACAGCTTCTGTTTTCGTCGGATGGCAAACTTAGTTATCTTGTAATTATTTATCATGCACGATTTGGAATGCATTAACAAATATTGATCATAACAATCTGTCATCTTTAACTATAATTTTTAAAATTTTTCCAATATTAATTTTGATATGTTTATCCGGTATTCTTAGTTGAATTTTATTGTATACTTTATTTACTTTCGAAAATTTCTTTTATCATGTAAGTGCTAATATATTCTTAATAATTTCAAGTTTAACTTTAATTCGCATTTCGCATTTACAGGGTTTAGTTAATTCTATATAAACAATGATATAGCTAATTGTTTTTTATCAAACACAATTTTTGCTACCCCATAGGACTAGTGCTAGTTTTAATCTTTTCATTCTATATTATTTACGTGTCTGGAAAAATAGTGAAAATGGTGATATCATTTTTAACATTGACACACTGTCTATAGAAACTTTTTTTATAAACTATTTTTATTCTTTGTTTTTAGTGCTATTAGAAATCATACACATGCTCTGCACCTATTTTTCACATATTGAGGAAAAAAGAGTCATATATCTTTTTATGTTGTGATATTATAAAACATATTTTTGAGTACCCTTTTAAGGTATGTGATTCCTTAAAAGAGTTTCCATATAAATCAATTCCATATCTGCAAACATGAAAGCATTCCTTTTATTAGAAAGTGCTTCTCAAAAACCATAATAGATAGAGAACTTAAATTTTTTAATAAAACTGATAACCGATAAGTCTTATTTCGATTTGCTAGGTGACTTCAGATTATTCGGAAGTTTTGTTCCGATTTTGTTCAATTTTAATATTCAAAGCCAATTTTTTTCGAAGCCGCTTAAGTCTTAAGTCTTCGAACTCGATAAGTCTTATTTCGATTTGCTAGGTGACTTCAGATTATTTGGCAGTTTTGATTTAACAACACATTTTGTTCAATTTTAATATTCAAAGCCAATTTTTTTCGAAGCCGCTTAAGTCTTAAGTCTTCGAACTCGATAAGTCTTATTTCGATTTGCTAGGTGACTTCAGATTATTGGCAGTTTTGATTTAACAACACATTTGTTCAATTTTAATATTCAAAGCCAATTTTTTTAGAAGCTGCTTTATACTAATATGCCTTGCTTCTTGAGATATCTAGCTTAAAGTTGTAAACTGTTTACATTTATACTGTTTAACATCAATAGTATACCAGTTTAGAGTTTCCACTATGTTTTATAATACCAAACATTCCCAACTATATTAGGTGTGTATATATAAATATATTAAATATCAGGTCTCTACACGTAGTGAACTATTGTAAAAAAGCACAAATGCTTTGATGAAGGCATTTGTAATGCCAGAGTAGTTAATTGGCAAAAAAATTTGTACTGAATAAAACACATTAAGTAAGTAAATAGATAACACAAATAGGTTGACTATATCTATATCTATAAAACACCCGTACAAAAAACTGAAAAAAGTTAGCTCATATATTGAAACATACATACAATTTGTGTTATTACAAATTAAAATATAAACTTTAGTACATACATTAAATGATATATGTTAACGATATGTATAATGATAAGAAATAATGATATGTTTATATATTTGCGTAATAAGTATTTCAGATTAGTTGAAACCAAATCCATTTTTTTTATTTTTTTGTATTTTTATATTATCTGGAACATCACATTTTCACCATCCTTACATATTTTCATTATTATTAATGTTTTTTTATTCTTTAATGTTATATATATGAGCTTATAATAATTATTTATATTCTAATTTATAATATGAACTATATTTATTTATAAATATATACTTTTTTTTCACTCTCCTTACATAATTTTATCACTTAATCTTTTATATTAACTATATATATTTTACCTCTTAAAAAAAATACAATATATATTCTTATTATATTTATTTAAATTTTATTAAAGAATCAATTATATTTAAGTATATTTTTCAACCGATCAAAATATTTCTCAATTATAAATAAAACAAAAATTTCTATTTCTTACAGGAATACATTACATCATTTTATGAAGGATGGCGGGACCTTATGGATAACAAATCAGATCCGCGAACGAGAAATTGGCCCTTAATGAGTTCGCCCTTCCCCACCATAGCAATTAGTTTAACATACGCTTATTTTGTAAAAGTGAGTATAATTAATAGTTTGGACAGTAAAAAATAAAAATAAAAATAAAAATATACAAAAAACCACAGTAATAAAAATGTTGCTGGAGGGTACTTTATTCTGCCAGTTAAATGCGGATATGGGGAAATCCCTTTAGAATGTAGTTACAAATTTTTGCTACCAATACTAGATATCTATTAAAAGATGTTAAGAGAATGCAACCAATTACATATGTAGTGTGGCTTTTGTAACCACAACATGTGAGTACTTACTTCCCTCTTAGCAAATGTGCACTTAACTTGATCAAAGTATATAATTTATTTATGCATAATACACACTTAACTCCTCTATAAAGTTAAAATCTCAATGACTTGCAATAAACACAAAAGCATTTTATATTGCCTTTAACAATTTAATGACGTCGACTTTTTATTAGTTTTTTACATTTCGAAATGAAATTCAAGTTCATTAACAAAAGCACTAAAAAATGCAAATTCTAGAAGAATATAATCTGCAAAGTAATATAATTAAGAATATAGCTTTATGTCTGACATCTGCTTAGGACAGTAGATTGAATCACTTTGAATGTCGAACTACTTTGGACATTGCTCCAAAGAGCATTCGAGACTGAAAACTAGTTTACAATTCCTTTCGAAGTGACATGTGTAGTTGCTGTAAACAAATATTATTTTATTTAAAATCATGAACCTGTAATCTGGCTATGCCTGTGCAGCTTGGAGTTTTTCCATGCTCCACATGTCCACTGAAAGCTGTAGTGCTGCTTGTGTGTGATTCAATGGTGCGCTGCAGCATAAGTAGCGCATCGGTGCGGTTTTGAAATATGCGCAAGATAAAAGTTCAGGGTCAGGAGAAACCAGTAAAACAAAACAAACTGATAGTGTGGTGAATGTTTTTAATAACTACAGCTTAGGTTTTAAATATATGCTATTGACAAATCTGATATAAAAATTAAATAAAAGTTATAAAATTAATTATTAAAGATGCTTTTTAGAAAAAATAGCACAAAAGACTTAAGCAACAAACTCGCTTTTAGTAACTCTTAAGCGGTGTAACCTTGATGCGCCTTTCCGCCATAAAATGCGTGCATTATAAATTATCGCATAATAAACTTATTACATATAAAAAGTAAAAAATGCTTTTAAATATGCAATTTAAACATTATTATGCAACTATATAAATACCAGCAGCGGCAATAAATACATACAAAATAAAAAAAAAACGAACTTACATAAATAATATTTTCTCTAAGTTTTTGCAAAATTTGACATTGTTTCGCAGATGATTTGATGCTTCCTCCTGAAATATTCGCATCATTAAACGCCAACATTTCGCAGCACTGAGGAGCCAAAAGTGTTGGAGCATCTCTTAATTGCTAAATTTACGAGCATAAACTAATTTCTACAATTTGAAATATTTTTTCCAAGTATAAAAAGTTTGTCACATTAAAGCATTCGAACACCAAAGCAAAGCACTAAAAATCAAAGCATTTTATGCAATTTTAAGTATTCACATAAAAACTTAAAAACTTAAAAAAGCAAAAAAAATGAATTTATACATAAAATAAAAAAATAAATTTAACAAATGTTGCTGCAACACATTATTGGCTTTTATTACGACGGTTAGCGAGTTTTATTTTGAATAAAATGCAAACATTACAGCTAAATTCGCATTGGAATAAATTATCAAAGTAAATTTTGTTAATTAAAAGTGGGGTAAAGAAATAAGAAACCATTTTTTTTGCTTACACATTTCCAAGTTTCCACTATTCGTAATTTTTAATTTCATTAACAAATTTTTAATATAGCATTTTTGACTTACAACGTCTAGGCATTAGTATTTAAGACATCGTTTTATTAGAACTTTTGGCAAGTAACTAACAGCTGTTATATCTTACATTACATAAGTACAACAACATTTTTCATAAAAAGTTACTTTTTATAAATAAATTTATATATTTTTCAAGGACATATCTTAAATTCAATGTTATCAAGTCAGCTGTTGGGTTTAACTAACTGCTATCTTGTTGCTGGGACATGGAGGCTTATCCACTTAACATCAATCAGCTCACTTTACTTAATATATTGGAACTAGTACTGAAGTTACATTAAAATTATTTAGGAGCTTATCTACAGCTATAAATGAATTACTTACCTAATTACTTACTTATTGCAACTCTTAACTTTCACATAAGTATAGCCCTTTAACAATCTTCTTAAATTGAATCCCATTACTATTTATATAATATACATAACTCTAAATACACATAAAAAATTAATACGTTTAAACGCAACGTCTGTCTTGTTATATTGCTACTAGGTTTAAAATATGTGTCACCAATCTAACGTTACTTTAAAAATTTGATTTCTCGATCGAATGCATTTTTTTATATGGATAAAGTGCTTTCAAGTACTTGAAGTACTTCATGTGATATCAATAGTATATCAGTGATTTAATGTTAGAATCAAATCTCTAAAGTTTAGATTTTAATGAAAATTGATAAGGCCTCCCTACTGTATGTAACATACCGTACTGTATGTAACAGATGTTACTTGGAATATACGTGCACCTAAATCCTGGTTCGCATCACTCTTTTTGGCTACTACACTTTCAGGAGGAGTTAAAATTTCAACGCATTCGATAACACGACTATCGATACATAATCTGGGCTGAACTGAGTTGTCATATCAACTGCTCATAACTTTCATTTTATCAACATTGTTTTATTACTGATTAAGTACCACCATTATTTATGTCTTTACTTATTATCTAGATATTATTTTTTTAATTGCTACTAGAAACAGGATGAGTGAAAGGATACAACCTTATTTAATCCTTTTTCCCTAGTTTTTATTTGAAGGTGGTCGAAGGCCTATAATCAAATAAATAATAATAAATAAATAATAATATTATTTATTAAGTTTGTCTATTATGGTGTCTACTTGTCCATTCGTCTTTCTGTCTATTTCCTTTCTTGTCTGTCTCTCTGTTTGTCCTTTTGTCTGTCTATTTTTTTGCATGAACAAAATTTTTTCTGAATTCAGAAAAAAATTGGCTGTCTCTATTAGATAGATCTAAACAAAAAAATAATTAATAATGAATATTTGTAAATATGAGTACAATATATGTAAATATATAAATTATAATTCTTTTTTAATTAGCTTGAAGTTCATTAATGGCAGAAAGAATTGAGAAAATTTAGTAATTTAAGACTTCAGACGATCATACTATAAAAAAAAATACCATTTCAACGTATTCGAAATTTGATATATAGATATATCCTAGATAGCACATAGTGAAAACACATTAAGATAAAGTATTTTTTAATCCCTATCTATTTTTTGTACTTTATAATTATCACAGCAAATTGAACCTAATATATTAGAATACCGGCTGTTTTAATAGGACATTTCAAGTTTCCTTAAAGTTTCTATTTTTCGAATTGAAGAATACTTTTGAAGGAAATGTAAGAGCGTCAGCATTTATACATACTGAGAGGTTTACGTAGATACAAAACACAATAGATCTCTCTGATATCACATTACTAAACTAATCATCATATTTGAACTTATTTATATGAATTAAGTGGGATTGCGTTCATATTTTGAAACATAAAAGATTCGCCAGCTGTTTTTGAATTTTGAATCTAACCTTCCGTGAAGTCCTAATTCTTCAGAAAGTATGAACACTTAGAAACATCTAATACAAATAATTACAATGTGAAAAACTTACGATTTGCGGTACTTTTAATATATTGTGTATCATATGTTAAATATGATAAACTATAAAAATAGTATTAAAACGCTGGTAAGACTGGCTTACCATTAAGTAAAATAGGCATAAACTTGAAGTAAAATTACAAAAACAGCTGATGTTAACTCACTGAGTAACAGATCGAGAGTCAAATCTAGTTTGACAACACTATACAGTGTTACTAACTTTTGAGCGTGTTTTTCGAATTATTAATTCCGGTTACGTTTTATACAGAATATATATACATTTATTTACAGAGATTTATGTATAAACGTGTGGTATTTTGTATTTTTAAATATTTTATAAAACATAATAGTTTTACAATGAGTCATAATTATGAAAATCAATTTACATTGGAACTTTTCAGTGTTTTAAAAACAAAAAACTTTTGATATTTTGTGCAACTCTATTCGCCCAAAACTTGGCAACTCTTATAGTTTTTTAATTTTTTTTTATGGTTTTTAAAAATAGAAACCATTGGCATATAAAATTTTTAACAACATTTTTGAATGTCTCAATAACATGACGCGCTACTAAAATAAATTCGCACATTTTAATGCTTTATTTTGAAGACATTATTTTTTTTTTAATTAAAAAAATTGCAAAATTTTTAATTTTATATCAAGTTTTTTAACAATCTGTCTTTGTTTGCAGGTACTTGGTCCCAAATTGATGGAAAACAGAAAACCCTTTCAGTTAAGAAAAGTTTTGATTGTCTATAATTTTGCACAAGTCATATTTAGTGCCTGGCTATTTTATGAAGTGAGTATTTACTTTATTTCTTCTAATTATAAAAAACATATTTCTTTAATATCAATTTATTGTAGAATATTTATGTATTATAAACAATATTAATATAATATAAATATATTATATTAATAATATAATATATAATATAATATATATAATATATATAATATATATATAAATAATATAATAATATATAAAATATAATATATAATATATAATATAATATATATTAATATAAACAATATTAATTTATATATGTATATATTGAATTATTTAGAAAAAATATTTTTGTTTTATTTAGTGAAAATTCTATATAAAAGAGTTTTTTTTAATTAATTTTATTTTATAATAATAATATATAAACAATTATTTATATGCATTGAACTATTATTAAAAAAATATTTTTCCTTTATTCACTTAAAGTCCTGCATAGGAGGCTGGCTAAATGGTTACAATATTCGATGCGAACCAGTCGACTACTCCCCTTCTCCAGCAGCGTTAAGGGTAAGTAGGCGTCATATAAAATTTGTAAATTCAATATTTACAAAAAGTTTATTTATTTATTATAAATTTATCTATAATGATGCAGTTAAATAAATAATAATCTATGCATGCAGAATCAATCTATGATGCAGAATATTAAATAAATAACTCATTACAATATTTATTTCACATACATGTCACCTTAAAAATATTATTCGTCTTATATAAAAAATTCTATTATTATTAATAAACCTTCAAAAAAGTTATTTATTTTTTATTTATTAAAAACAAACCTGATTGGATTTTAACTCAATAAAAAAAATACTAAACAAATTTTCTTGGTGGAGCTCTTCACAAAAAAAAATTCTATAATATATTGAAGTATTGTTCATATAATAAATTTTTT